AAAGAAACGAAATATAGACAAAGTGGGTCACACAGTAAAAACTGAGATGGACAATGGAAATAAGTTCAAATCCATGTTTATTGGCCATTTGTGCTTCCTCTGTAGGGAAATGTCTGTCTTTGTAGTTTGCCCATTTTGGGGGTGGGGGATTTGAGTGAAAGACAACAGACACAAATATATATCACATGGTTCCATTCATCTCAAGTTTGAGAACCAGCAAGACTAATCTACGGCAACAGAAGTCAGAGCAGTAGTGACCTCTAGGGGTGGAGACTCACTAGCAGGGGACATGAGGAGACTTTCTGGGGTAATGCAAATGATCTATAACTTAATCAGAATGTTGGCTACACAAGCATATGTATTTGTCAAAACTCACTGAACTGTACACTTATTATCTGGGTACTTCACCATGTGTAAACTTTGTCTCAATTTAGGGGTGGTATGTGAATCATTTAATCCTTTTAAGGGGAATAATTTGTTTCACATACTTTACCAATAGCAATTTGCACATAACTGCAATCTAAGTGAAAATTTATTTTCTACACTCAAAAAGTAGGCTTAAATTCTCTTCCTGGAAACATATTTTAGCAGGTTCAATCCAAGATATGATGACTATTTGAAAATAAGGCTATCTGGAACTTCCCTATTTACTCTGAATTGACTGAGTGAAAACACTGGGATATACTCAGAAAAGTAAGAGTTAAAGGTTAAAGGTTAAACAATAAACAGCAGTTCAGCTGTATGACTTTATAGAACAAAGGCTAAAATATCACAAATGATCACCTCTCGCTCTTCTACAATAATAAGTATTTATGTACGTGATCAATTCCAGCAGCAAATGGTTGGGAATTTACTTGGTGTTAGTACCATCTTTTCCTTTCCTAATAGCTCCTCCTTGAGAGAAGAGGAAGGTGGGAGAACACAGCCACCAAACTGCTGGTATGAACATTAACTTCCAGCTTCCAGTCCAGAGCTTGCACCTCCAGACTTGGCTGATGTGTGTATGTGTGTGTGCGTGAAGGTCATCAAAACTAAACAATGTTGTTTAAACTAAACGTCCTACTCTGCACACAAAAGCCCAGGCACAAAGCAGAGATAAGTGACATGCTTCCTACCTCTCTTTCCTGGGATTGCTATATGCCTCTTCAATAAACTCCATTTTGTCCAAATCCTTCCATTTGCCTTCGTCCAAGAATTGCCATCGATATGGCAAATGGAAATGAACTCTATTGCATTTCTCTAAAATAAAAATACAACAAGTAAGACACCTTTGCAATATACAGCATGGCTTAGCCCTGTGGTTGTCACTGGGTGTGGTGCTGCCCACTGACTTAGGAACATTGTGGAAATTTGTGGGAGTCTTTGTTTTTTTAGTGCAGTCATACGTGAGCATTTAGATATTGAAATACTATGTATTTTATTATATACATTGCTACAGTTTGAATGCCCTTTCTGAAACTCATGTTGAAACTTAATCCCCAATGTGGCAATACTGAGAGGTGAGGAGGTGACTGGGTTATAAGGATTAATCCATTCATGGATTAATGGGTCAACGGGTATCACAGGAGTGGGACTGGTGGCTTTATAGGAGAAAGATAGACCTGAATTAGCACACTCAGTCCCTTCACCATGTGATGCCCACCAAAACCTCGGGACTCTACAGAGAGTCCTCACCAGCAAGAAGGCTCTCACCAGATGTGGCCCCTCAACTTTGGACTTCTCAGCCTCCACAACTGCAAAAAATAAATTCCTTTTCTTTACAAATTATCTAATTTCAGGTATTGTAAGCCACAGAAAACGAACTGAGACATACATTTTCCTTTTGTCTCACTTAGCAGGACCTTACACTGATTTTTAAAAGTATGTATGTTGGTGGGTTATATCGTCTATGAATTTCATTTTATAACAGTAAAGAAGTTGATCACGAGAAGGTCAAAGGCGCCATCCTTGCAGTGGGCAGTCTGACTGCTCAATATAGCTCTATATGTGGCATGTGGATGGTCAGAGATCACACATCTAAGATGGAGCCAGATTCCTCTCTACCAGAAATGCATCCCAACCCTAACACAACCAATCAAAGGTGCAGCAACATGGTTCCGGCCCACTTGGATCTCTTCTGGTTACCAACTTACTCACTTCATCCTTGACACGCCCCCATCCCCCAAGGTCTTCATACACACTGCTGTGCCACCACTGACACCCACACAATGACCCAGACCTATGGCTTCCAGCCACCTATTCCCCTATTCCTTCCCCGTGTTCCTCCTGGGCAGCCAGGTCCTCACTTTCCTCGTCACTCCAAGCACCTGCTGCCTGCCTCACCTTTGCTCATGCTGGCCACCACCTGGAATGTCACCCACACCCTCTCACTACCTTTCAGTAGCATATGTGAGATTCTGCCACATCCATACAGAGGAACCATATAGAGGAATGTTGGGAGAGGACAGGGAGAAAGGAGACAAAAAGAATGGGAAGCCCTTTGCACTCTGGCATGGAGCTACCTCCAAGATATATGCTATTAGGTAGAAAGATACAGACCAAGGTTCAGAATGCCTCTACTTGAGTAAATACAGAAAAAATAATAAGACTAGAGATACACTAAGTACACATAAATGCACATATTATTTCTTGTTGAGGGGAACTGGATGGCTGGGCACAAAGTTATGAGGAAAGACTTCTATCAGTCTGGCATGTTTTGAATTTTGAATCACAAGAATATATATTATAAAAAATCAACCATCTAGTTAACTGAAAAAAGGAATGAAACTGTGCTAGTGTGCCTACAGAAGAATGAAACCAAATGGACACATGCACTTGTAAGTGGATAAAGTCTTCACAGGAGGATATTCAAGGAATGAATAATTGTAACTATTTCTTGGAGGGGACATGTTTGGTTTGGAAGAAATGTCTACTTCACATCTGTTTTCCCTAGCACCGATGTACTAAGGAAAACAGATGTGAAGTAGACATTTCTTAATTACTGTCCTTTGTACATTTTCCATTCATATTTCAAAAAAATAATAATAAAGCTTGGCTAATTTGACACTTGAAAAAAAATTAAAACTTTCTAAAATCATATGCACTCTTTCAGGCGCATCTCAATGCCACTTCTCTCCCAGACTCTGCAAAAGGGCACCCTGAGCGGGGGGAGTGCCATGAAGGAGGGTAGGGAGGCTGCCCGAGCTTGTCGAAGACCAGGCCTGGGGCCAGGAAGACAGGGCAGATGAGAGCACCAGGCTGAGAAGGCTCAGGAAACAAGATGGGCATATCCCAGCGAGGAAATCTCCTCTAAGTTCCAACAAGGCTGGACATAGCCACACTGAGACTTAAGATCTCCTAACTTGTGAAGTTTGAACACAGGCAGCTCACCAGGCCAAGGAACCTCTTGGACTTTTGACCAGGTGTGTGTACAACAGATAATAAGGGCTGGGCCAGGATAGAGAGGACAACAGCTGTGGTCCAAGGTCACAACTAATAAGAGTTCCTGTTCCCTCCCTGAAGGGAAATGATCAGGGATGAAAGCAGAAAGGCCATCACCAAGACATCCCAGTATTAAGGATGCTGCTTCTATAAACCCTGGGCACAGGTAAAGGCACACACATGGCCTGAAGAAAGGCTCTCCCAGCAAGAAGGAACCCCCTGGGGAAGGTGCACCCTCTGGCCCCATGGCCCTCAAGACTGATGCTTCCTCAGACAGGATATAGGACCCACGGGAAGGCACTGTGGTCCAACAGCAGGCCTGACGCTTTGGTTCTTAGTAGAAGCCATACCATTCACAGCTGGAAGGCACCCAGGAAAGGAGGCACTATGCAGGCCACTGCAGCCACAGTACCTGGCCAGAGCTAAGTCCCAGCACAGTGGAAGAGACATGAGGCCCATCCCCTGTCCTCATCTTCCCTAGTCTTCCTGTCCCCTTTCTCAATATCTTTTTCTCCTTCTAATGTTCCTCACCTCACTATGGCATTCCAGAGTCTAGGCTTTCTAGAAGGTGAGTCAAAGAAATCACATCAATTTGGCAGGCAAAGCACCACATCCACCCCCCATTTCTCCCTACATTCCTTGAAATGACAGACCAGAGAGAAGAATAAATTCACAAGCACTGGAAAACAATAAAAAACACCATCAAAAGACCAGAATTATTCAAGAATTCCTAAGACTATGAAATAGCATCAAACAATATAAGAGAGGAAAAAATGCAGGCAAAATACACAGAAGACATCACAGAAGTAGAAAAGATCTGGGGGTGTCACAGATTCAGACTCAGATGAAATGAGGAACAAGAAAGATACCGAGGCCAACCACAATGAGAACAATGGGACGCAATGGCACAGGCACCCCCTCGCTCTGCCTTGCTTGTGTGGAGCAACCTTGCTACATGCTTCCCCCCTGAACTTGTAAGTGTGGATATGAGGGCTAGAGAGAGAACAAAGCAGGTAAGACAGCTGCCAACGCCCCCACCCCCAGTCCTAGGCTACACACCAGGCAGGGCATACGGCCTCTTCCGATCATCACTGAAACACAGGCCTGGAATCAGAGTCAGTCTCCTGGAATCAACCAACAGGCACATGGGATTCTCAAGCACCAACCTGACAGACAACCAAGAATCACCCAAAACGTGAGGGAAAATAATGCAAAGAGAGGCAGCAAACACACACAGAAGCAGCAATGCCTAAGGAAGGAATGATCAGAGTTATGAGAATAAGCATGAACAGCTAGACCTAAACCTAAAAGCTAAACCTACAAAACTTCTAGGAAAAAAACCACAGGAGAAAACATTTTGTGGGCTTAGAACAGGCAAACATTTTTAGGCTACAAAAAACACAAACCATAAAAGAAAAAAATATTAAACTGGGCATCAATATTAAAACATCTCTTCTTCAAAGGACACCATAAAGAAAATAAACATAAAAGAGACCGGGAGAATATATTTTCAATATAAATAATACACAAAATTCTTACAACTCAGTAACGAGAGAGCAAATAACCAAATTAAAATGGGCAAAATGGTCACAAAAGACCAATATTGTATGATCCCATTTATTGGAAACATTCACGCAAAGCCAAAGAGACAGAACCTAAATCTGCTAGGAGCTGGTGGGAGAGGAAGAATGGAGAATGACTGCTAATGGGTATGGGGTTACTTTGGCATTGATGAGAATGTCCTCATATTGACTGTGATGGCTGCACAACTCTGTGCTAATATACATACGAGGGGACTTCCAAAAGTTTGTGGAAAAATGGAATTAGAAGATAAAAATTAAAAATGTAAACTTTATTTCTCAATATAAGCTTCGTCAAATTCAAGACACTTTTTTAAGTGATGATACCAGCCATTCAGTCCGTCCCTAAAGAACTGATGATCCTGGGAATTTAACCATGTGTCAATGCAGTCTTTTTTACATTATGAACTGAAGAAAAATGAGTGCCCTTTGAAGATTTTTTTTTAAGATTAGGAATCAAAAAGAAATCAGAAGGAGCCGGATTAGGACCGCGTGGTAGATACCTAATGATTTCCCAAGGAAACTCTCACGAAATTACCCTTGTTTGATGAGAGGAATGAACAGGATCACTGTCATGGTGAAGGACTCTCTGTTGA